CTGGAGCCTGTTTCCGATTCTGTGTCTCCCTCTCTCTCTGCCCCTCCCCTGTTCATGCTCTGTCTCTCTCTGTCCCAAAAATAAATAAACGTTGAAAAAAAAATTTTTTAAAAGAAGGAAATCTTGCCATTACAACTACATGGATGGAACTGGAGGGTATTGCGCTAAGTGAAATTAGTCAGAGAAAGACAAGTATCATATGACTTTATTCATATGAGGAATTTAAGATACAAAACAGATGAACATAAGGAAAGGGAAGCAAAAATAATATAAAAACAGGGAGTGGGACAAAGCATAAGAGACTCATAAATATGGAGAACAAACTGAGGGTTGCTAGAGGGGTTGTGTGTATGGGGGGATGGTCTAAATGGGTAAGGGGCATTAAGGAATTTACTCCTGAAATCATTGTTACACCATATGCTAACTAATTTGGATGTAAATTAAACAAAAAAATAAATTTTGAAAAAAGAAATACAATCTGGTAGACTACTGGGAAGGGTTTCCCCACCAGCGAGTAAGGTTGGTGTGTCTGGAGTGAGGAGTATTGTGTATCCCATGAGCTGCAACCTAATGCATTCTACATGTGGCTATGTGACCTACTTAGCTTTAGAGCAAGAGTTGGCTAACTATAACCCACTGTCTGTTTTTGTAAATAAAGTTTTATTGTAACACAGTCACACCCATTTTTTAATATATTGTCTATGGTCGGTTTCTCAGTATAACAGCAAAGTTGTAACAGAGACCATAGCTGGTCCCCAAAGGTTTGTTATCTCAGTCTCTGAATCTCCAGCCACTCAGGTGGGTTCTCCTCTCTTCTGTATTTCTTATAAATACAATTTATACTTATTCAGGGATGGGCCCGCTTCTGTGTCTTTACAGCAACCCAGAAAGGCTTTGTCATTTAGAATTCTGATACCCATCTAATCCAGATAATGCTTTCTGGCCCTTCTTCCTCAGACTGAAACTTTCAGATATTAGTGACTTTCCCCAGCCTTACACTTGAGTTTACCACCCCTTCCAAGATGGTGATTTGAACTCTGGTAGGGACAATCTCCAAGTTCACTAGACTATGTACTCTTTGAAGATAAAAATCAATATCTTGTTTGCTTTTGTATCATATTACCATCCCTAGGAACCAGCCTGCTGCCTCACACATGGATCATATCCAAAGGGGGGAAAAAAAAAAACTAAAAAGGAAGGAAAGACAGAGCAAAGGAGAGGAGAGCTTGAATGCAGTCTGTTTATCCTCTTCTTCAGTGTTTGTCCAAATCTAACAGTTGTATTTGTGAAGGAAAACAACAACAACGACAAAACATGACCAACATCTGGTCTCTACTTGTTTCTCTTTTCTTATGCTGACTTTGAAAGTTTTCAAAGAACAGCACCCAACTTTCCATTCTCAAGACACTTTAAGATAAAATTTCCTTTTAATCATCCTTTATAAATATCAGATCCCAATTTTATTTTCAAATGAAAAGGCCATCAGTTAAAGGACTGGGTTGGATCTATGACCAGAAACAAATACTCCTGGCTTCTTGCCCACATTCCTTGCAGCAAATGCTCCTGAGTTCACCAGGGAAAATCAGTTTGCTGGAGCACTAGTTCCTTTACTCTGGCAACACCCCAGAATCAAGCCCTGATTCTGAGGTGCCCCATTTCTCTACAATTCATGCTCACACACTGACTTCTCATCTTCCCCTTGGCTCGAAGGCTTTTGATAAATAGTTTCCAGGCCCTCACCCATTTGTCTTGAGCTTCTCTCCCAGATGGATGTGTTTATTTGTTTTGGTTTCATTCCACCCAACCCACTATCACCTGCAGTGTGGGGGAAAAGAGACTATCTGAATGCTCTCTGTCCCATGCTGTATGAAGTTAGGCACTGGCATACAGCTGGTCTTTCCACATAGATACAAGAGGCGATTGACACTCGGCATCAGACATTCAGTCATCAAAGGGCAAGTAAGAGGGTAGGAGAAAGTGGCATTGATGAATGATCACTGCAGCACAGTATTATTCAAATAATACAGTGAGCACTCAATAGGCCACTACTGCCAAGCCACAGCAAAGATTCAATTTACTACTGATGACTTCAGAAATGATTCCATTTATCAACAAAACCCTGAGAACACTGGAAGGTCAAGAGCAGTCTTAACCTAGAGACTGAGAGGGCAGACAGATAGTCCCTCTGAGTCGGCTGCTACCATCTTATGATAGAGAACTCAAAAGTCTCTTTTTCTCTAGATAGGTAGGTAAGAGGGTAAGGAAGAAAAAAGAAAGGGAGGGAAGGAAAAGGGAGATGGATGGATGGATGGATGGATGGATGGTTGGATGGATGGTAGATAGGTAAATAAATTGGTGGTAGATTTTTTAAATTCAGGTTTCACCTCCACAAACATTATAAAAAGTAACATTTACTTCTCATTCTTATTTTACAGATGACAAAATTAATGAACTATAATTTGAAGGGGTTTGTCAAGTCCATGTCTGCCAAAAGAAATGGAAACAGAATCATAACTCATAGATAGGTCATCATTATTCTAGAGTGATATTGTCCCCTAAAGGACACTTGGCAATTCCTAGTGACATTCTTGGCTCATGACTTGGGGAGGAGGGGGAAACCGAGGGGTAAGTGCTACTGGCATCTAGTGGGTAGAAGCCAGGACACTACGAAACATCCTACTATGTAAGATAATCCCCCACAACAAAGAATTATCCTGTCAAAAGGACAAGAGTGCTAAAGCGTAGACACCCTTTTCTAGAAATGCAGTCAGTAAACTATGTCCCATTGCCTGTTTCTTGTCAATAGATGTTTCACTGGAACACAGCCATGCCCTGCCATTTACATATTTTCTATAGTTGCTTTTGTGCTATAACAGCAAAGTTGAGTAGTTGTGATAGAGACTGCATATCCACAAAGCCTAAACCAATTACAGCCTGATGTTTTACAGAAAGTTTGCTAACCTCTGCTGTATATCATGGGTCTTTGGGGGATAAAGACCAAAGGGCACCACTCCCCTGCTAGCCAAGGTGTACATTATGCAACTCAAGTGAGCACTTCACATAGACTCCAAGGTAAATGGAAGTGTACAACACAGTGGTCCTCAGCAGAGTGGGTACCTACGAAGAGTGACTTGTGGCAATAGGGGAGATCTACCAGAAGAAGTTTCCTAGGAAAATCTTCCATGGTCTCGTTCCCTGAATGTCACTCACACGAATTACATATACGAACCCGAAGCACTAAGGGTCTATCTAAAGCTCATCCGGATGGAATATTACCGCCCTGTTAATGGACAGCCTCTGACTTTACAATGAGATTTTGTATGGGACCCACCGGGATGAAAATCAACAAGCACAGTCATCATTTACTGAGCAATCACTGTAGGCCAGGCACTGGAGTGGAAGTACAGAAGTGAGTCCTTAAAATGTATACTGGTCTCGGGGCATCTGGGTGGCTCAGTCAGTTAAGCGTCTGACTCTCGGTTTGGCTCAGGTCATGATCTCACAGTTTCTTGGGCTCAGGCCCCACATTGGGCTCTGTGCTCTGTGCATGTTTCTCTCTCTCCCTCCGTCCCTCCCTCCCCCACTCACACTGTCTCTCTCAAAATAAATAAATACACTTAAAAAATTTTACACCGGTCTCAGCTGGACATAGTGATATCTCCCTCGGAAGATGTGAACATGGAGATCACTAAAAGTGAGGGCTGGTGCACCTACTTGGTCTTTCACCTCTTCAGAATCTGAATCTTTATCAACTTCTTCATCAGCGTCATCTTCAAAATCCTCTGGGTGGAGAAAAAGAGGTCAAACAGATGAGGCTTCCCTTATGCCTTGGATTTGGATTCCCACCACACAGTGGCTAGTACTCCCTTTGTCATAAACAAGGGGCTCATTATGAAGAGCACAATATCCCAACACACTCTAATACTTAGTAGTACATGCAACTCGTATACACACAGACACATGGAGCACTATAGCATGAAGTCTAAATTGCCCCACATTGAATGCAAAATGACTGCAGAATAAAATGACATCCAAATACCATTCTGGTGTCCCCCCCCCCCCCACAGTTTACACGAAGTTATGCAAACAGCATTGCCAACGTTTACAGATCACATATAGGCAAAATTTGCTATAACTGAGCACCTTCACTGGCTCCCTAATTTTGATAAGAAGGTACTTATTTACAACAAAAGGCCACAGAAAGCATCCAGTGCTGTTGTAGCAAGATGATGCCAATGGAAAATCTGTTCCATGAAAGGAGGGCAGTGACAGTGGAATCTTCACGGAGATTGAATAATCACACATTCAGACATTTAATGGACTAGCTATTTTGTAAATAGCACAAGTTTTATTCCAAGTTCATCCTTAAGGCAAATGCATTCCAGAACCAGTCAGTACAGTCAAGAGACTCAATTGCGGAATTGTGAATATGTATGTTTTTTTTTTTTTAATTAGCTGAAATGACTGTACAGGCACTCAATAGCCACCAGGCAAAGTGGCAACAGTTAATAATTAGGAACAAGATAAGTGACTTTAGTATTTGTTCATTCTGTATATGAAAAGCTTGCTTTTTTATACATTTCTTTAATTAGATTATGGACATTTACAGTTGGGCTCTAAAAGAACTGATTCTACTTTCATCCACATCCCTCTGAAATACTTCCAACATGCCAAACACGTCAGAAAGCTCATCATCACCCACTGACATTACCTTCAGTTAGAACACACGGAGGTTCGGAAGGGATGCTCCCAGGGACTGGGAAGGCGTAGGCACTGGTGGCTGTGACCAAGGGAAGTGGGCTCTTTGGGTAGCACTGTCTCAGGATCTGAACTACGACGGAGACGATGGGTTCCAAACTTCTGTCATCCAGGCAGTTCTGAACGAAGAGGAGACTGTATCAGACGCCGACACCTTATACAGGGTTCCCTTATCCTGTCAGTATTTTGGGCAGTGAATGACACATGGCCCCGATGGACAGTAAACATCCTTACTGTAGAATGCCTGACTTGAACATTCAAATGTAGCATTTTGTCTAAGTAGAATCGGCTTTGGTCTAGGGTATAATCTGCATTTTTATTTCTTTTTCACAGCTCATATGTTACTGGAAGGAATTTAGTCTGAAAATAGACTTAAAAAGTCTTTCAAGGGATGCTGTGTCTAAGGGAAGCATTGTCCAGGGTAGCCAGGGGGAGAGGAGATGAGCATCTTCTCAACCATCTGAGTGTCATTGTGAATTATTGGCTAAATTAGAGAATGAGTAGCCAAATTGATGGAAGTCTTACTTTTCTCCTTCAGTCTTTATCTGAATAGAAAACTATAAAGGAAAATCTAAAATATGAAATCAGAAAAAAAAAAAGGCTAAGTGAATCCCAAGTACCTAAATTAAATAACATGCCTGTTCTCAGAGCCCACAGTGTTGATCTCTTGGTACCTACCCAAAGCAAAGGAAAATTGGGTTTGCAGATGGAACATTTTGATGCTGATGGAACATGACAAGACCCTTCTTTTCAGACACTTTGAAAAATGCAAAAACAAGTTTACTAAATTGAGAGAGAGTGTTGGGAGTAGTTCGGGAACTCTTTGGCAAAAACATGCCATTTTCTTGAGGCTCTTGGTAAATGCTTTGTCTACTGACTTAGTACGGAAAGTTGACAAGTGTGAGCCTCCAATTTGATATTCCTAAGGGGTTCCAAGTAAGGTCTAGAGCCAATAAGTCATAGCCGTAGCCATGGAGGATGCTGAGCACCTGCCACAGGGCAGGGTGACTGTCTGTGATGATGTCATGCGGTGGCCACACTGCATGGCCCACATTACAGGTAGCTCCATATATATATGTTTTTATGCCATGAGTTCAAACTGTCCCAATGATTCCCTAATATAAAAATGTAAGCCAACTTTCAAAACAGGAATATTGTAACATGATCAAGAATGCTATTTCCCCTTCCACATGCTCAAATGATACCCATCAGTTGTCCTGAAAACACTCTCCATGGGAAATAAAATACTTGAGGCTATTTCATCCCTGGCACTGGCCAAAGGGCTTGGTGAAAAGTATTAGTATCAGAAAAAGAGAGAACTGAGCATGGAAGAGGAAGAGAGGGGAGGTAGATGACCCATCATGGATGATGTTCTGAGCTTAGTTTTCAGTAGGTACAGAGCAAAGGACAAGCCAAGGAACTCAGTCAAAACCACCAACATTTTGGAAAGTGGTTGTGTCTGTGATTGTCGTTGGTATTGTTATTGATGAATGTGAAAACATGTTTTACTTTGCATAGGATGGTGCAGGTGAAAAGTGAGAAAAAGGATGGAGGCAGGTTCACCTGTCCTAACAGGTCGGGCCATGAATTTGGGGGATAGAGGAGATTAAAATCAACAGAAACCAAGGCATTGGGGTTATAGTGAATCACTACCTAAATTAGGTGGATGGTAAGTGCTTTAGTAGACACAGTGTTCAGGAAAATGTTTATGAATTTTAAAATAATCCGTGGTTCCAAAGTAACAGAAATGCCTAGATCCATCTGCCAACGTTTCCCTAGTGTTAAGGGAAGGGTACTGTGGCAGGGCCAGGACTAAGGTAAAGTGAGGGAGACACCCAGGATGCAAAATGTAAGGAGGCACTCCCTCAGGCTCCTGCAGCTGCAGGGCACTTATGCTGTGTATCAGAGATGACAAGAGCCCAAGAAATAGGATCCCTGGAAACAAATGGCTCAGAATTGGGGCAAAGGTGAACATTTTTGGCTCACTTTTCCCATCACTTCCAATAATACACCTGCTACCTGGAAAAGATGATGAAATATGACAGTGCCTTACATATTCAATTCACAGTTAACATCTCTGAATTAGCATTGGAATAATAAATACACTGCTTCTGGCTAAAATTAACAACTCAGGAAACAACAGATACTGGTGAGGATGTGGAGAAATGGGAACTTTCTTGCACTGTTGGTGGGAATGCAAACTGGTGTAGCCACTCTGGAAAACAGTGTGGAGGTTCCACAAAAAAATTAAAAATAGAACTACCCTACGACCTCAGCAATAGCACTACTAGGAATTTATCCAAAGGATACAGGAGTGCTGATTCATAGGGGCACATGTACCCCAATGTTTATAGCAGCCCTTTCAACAATAGCCAAATTATGGAAAGAGCCTAAATGGCCATCAGCTGATGAATGGATAAAGAAGATGTGGTTAATATACACAATGGAATACTACTTGGCAATGAGAAAGAATGAAATCCTGCCATTTGAAACAACATGGATGGAACTGGAGGGTATTAGGCTAAGTGAAATAAGTCAGTCAGAGAAAGACAGATACCATATGTTTTCACTCATATGTGGAACTTGAGGAACTTTACAGAAGACCATGGGGGAAAGGAAGGGGAAAAAATAGTTGCAAACAGAGAGGGAGGGGGGCAAACCATAAGAGACTCTTAAATACAGAGAACAAACTGAGGGGTGGTTGATGCAGGGGGTAGAGGAGAGGAGAAAATGGGTATTGGGCATTGAGGAGGGCACTTGTTGAGACAAGCACTGGGTGTTGTATGTAAGCAAGGAACCACAGGAATCTACCCCTAATACCAAGAGCACACTATAAACACTGCATGTTAGCCAATTTGACAATAAATTATATTAAATACATACATACATACATACATACATACATACATACATACATACATACACTGCTTCTGTGACACACAGGCAAGAGACAGAGCTCCTCCTCATCCACGGTTTTGCTTTTCCCAGATCTCATTTACCCATAGTCAACCATAGCCTGGAAGCAGATGACGCTCCTCCAAGGTATCACCAGAAGGCCGATAGCCTAACGCTACATCCCAATGCCTCCCTTCATCTCCTCATGTGGGCATTGTATCACCTCACGTCATCACAAGAAGAATAAGATATTTTGAGAGAGAGACCACATTCACATAATTTTTATAACAGTATATTGCTATAAGTGGTCTATTCAATCATTGTTGTTAATCTCTTGATGTGCCTAATTTATAAATTAAACTTCATCATAGGCACAAACGTTCAGGAAAAAACAGCGAATGCATGGTCAGTGCTACCTGTGGTTTTGGGCATCTGCTGAGGGTCTTGGAATGTACCCCCCAGGATAAGGGGGGGGCTACTTTACAGCATACAGCTCAGACCCTGGAGCAAAAGCACCCCAAAAATTCAGATCTTGAGCTGATGATCACTAACTGCATCACCGGGGCAAGTTACTACGCCTCTGTGAGCTGCAGCTTCGTCTATACAGCAGAGATCATAAAAGAGCCTCTCTCATAAGGACGTGTGTGAATTTGAGTTAAAATAGGCAAAGTGCCTGCCCAATACTAAGCACTCAGTAAGTGCTGGCTAGCAGGATGTTAGCAGGCATCATTACACTCTTAAAATCTCATAAGAATCTGAAAGAAGATCCCAGTGCAGAGCCCTAGTGATAACCTTCACCATAAGAAAATGAGACACTTTAGTGGAAAAGTCCAGGAGTCCCAGGTCTAATTTCCAGCTCTCCTTTTACCAGCCAAAGCCATCAGCATCTCTGCCCGAGCTCCCATGGTCTAACCCCCTCTAACCGCCTTGCCCTCCCACCACTCCCTCCTTCCTCCTGTGCCCTCAGATACTCTCCTGTCCAAACAGCAGCCAGAATGGTCCTTTAAGATCATAAATCAGTTTAATGGGTATAGAGTTTCAGTTTTGCAAGATGAAAAGAGTTCTAGAGATGGGTTATACAACAGTGTGGATGCACTTAACAGTACTGAACTATACACTTGAAAATGCCCAGCATGGTCAACTTGATGTTGTACAAATTTTATAATTAAAATTTAAAAAAAAAGCATAAATTATATCAGGTCATGCCCCTGCTTCAAACCTGATGGAAATAAAATCTGAATTTCTTTTCATGGTCTAGAAAGTTCTTCCCTCCTCTTATCCTCCCGTTCCTCCTCCCCCTCTCCCTCCCTCCCTTCCTCCTCCTTCATATCTCTCTTGTCTTTCACAATTATTGGCATACCAGCATCATCATCATCATCATCATCATCATCATCATCATTTGCAAATAACCACTGAAATGATACACTAGATCCAAGGTTCCCTCGTTGGCAATCCGGTGACTCCAATACCTTCTCTGGCAGATGGGGGAGAAGACTGACAGGCAGCTCAAACCAGCACAGCTATGATGGCGTCTATGCTCACAACACCCAGCCCAGGTGCTGGAGGCTCCACAGGCTAGGGCAGCCTCGAATACAGTGCAAGTTCAGCCTCTGCTCACATCCTGCATCCATTGCCAGCAAAAAATGGAGGCTGGAGGGTTGGTGTGAATTTGTTTCCTGAACAGTTGAGGTTTTTACTGACCTGCTGAGAGACTACTTTAAAACCCTCCTTGAAGAAACAGACTTTTTACAGAGAACACACGGCTGGTACCTGAGGGGAGGTGGGTAGAGGTATGGGGGAAACAGGTGATGGGGATTAAGGAGTGCACTTGTGATGAGCACCGGGTGATGTACGGAGGTGTTGAATCACTATATTGTACACCTGAAACTAATATTACACTCTGTTAACCAACTGGAATTCAAATAAATACTTGTAAAAAAGATGAAAGGAAAAAAACTAAAATGAGGTTATTATGGTGGGCCTAGTCCTATATGACTGGTGTCCTTATAAAAAGGGACATTTGGACACAGACAAGCACATAGGGAGAATGTCTTGTGAAGACAGAGGCAGAGATGAGGTGATGCTTCTACAAGCCAAGGGTCACCAGGACTGCTGTGACCAGCAGAATCTAGGAGAGCACCTGGGGCAGGTTCCCCCTCGTGGCCCCAGAAGGAACCACCCTGGCGCCATCTTGAATTGGGACTTTTGGCCTCCAGGGCTGGGAGAAAGTCAATCTCTGCTATTTGAGCTGCTCAGTTTGTGGTGCTTTGTTATGGCAGCCCCCAGGAGACTCCTACAGGGAGGTCCCCGCGCCACTCTTGAGTGGCAATTCCCCAGAAAGACTCTAAAAGCTCATTAAAAGCTGTTGTAGTTGCACTCATGATTTACAGGGACTCACATTACAGATGAAGATCAGCCAAGGAGAGAGGCCCACAGGGCAGAGGGCAGCTGTCTCAGTCTGCTCAGGCGGATCCAGCAGGACACCACAGACCGAGTGGCTGATGAACAAACACATTTCTTTCTCACAGTTCTGGGGGCTGGAAGTCCAGGTTGAAGGCACCATCAGGTTCCCTCTCTGGTGAGAACCTGCTTCCTGGTTCACAGATGGCCATATTCTCACTGTGTCCTTACATGGAGCAGGGACCAGGGAACTCTCTGAGGCTCCTCTTATAAGGGTGCTCATTCTGCTCATAGGGACTGCACCCTCATCACCTCATCCCCTCCCAAAGGCCCTGCCTTCCCAAACCATTACTCTGGGGAGTAGGGTTTCAGCATATGGATTTGAGGGAACACAGGCATTAGTCTATCACACCAGAGAAACACCAAACATGACATAGATAGATAGATAGATAGATAGATAGGAAATAGATACATAGATACATACATAGATGATAGATAAATAGGAAATAGATAGATAGATAGATAGATAGATAGATAGATAGATAGGAAATAGATACATAGATACATAGATGATAGATAGATAGATAGATAGATAGATAGAAGATAGATGGATAGATGTATATATTTTATATACATCCTGCTTCTAGCCTCACAGACCCTCTTTAATGCTTGTGCTTCCCTTTCTACTATCTCCACCCTCTTCCTCTAACAGACATGTAATTCAGGGATCACTGTTTTCTTCCTTTTTTGCCCTTTTCATTCTTCTTAACACAGAGCAGAGAAGCAGCCAATAAGGCAGAGGGCAGAGGAACCGGCTGGAGCACACGAATTGCTGGTGTGAGAGAGCTTCTGGGCATCAGCAGTGGAGGGGGAGTGTTTCACTAGAGATTTGGGGGACACAAGCTTACAAAGTATGGCGAAGCTTAGAAAAATTCAAAGCACTGCTTCATCCAGAGAAACGGAATGTTCGATGCAGCTATTTCATGACCGAGAGGCTCTGAAATCTGGAATGATGGCAAGAACCCACAGGTGATAGCTGACAGAAAATTACATATTGGTTTGCAGCCCAACATTATGTGATTGTTCAGAGTCGGATGTGGGGGGAGACGCTATTATTTGTTTTTAATAGGAAAAGTCTACAGATGCCGTTTTTGGAAAACAGTACTGTCGTCGACTGCCTCATTGCCTCATGCACACAGGTAGAGAAAAAGTGAAGGGTGTCCAGAGGGGAGCAATGAGACCGAGGAAAGGGCTGTAGAGACAAGTTAACGTGAAGACAGCAGGGAGCATGGTGCCTGTGGAGCACGGCTGCCGTGGCCCCAGGTGAAGGGGAGTGAGCAGATGATGGCTATTTGGAAGGCGTCCACATCCTCGATAGAGAGGGTGTTCATAGCTCATACTATGGTGTTTAAATTAGTCCTAATCAAGTGCAATTAAGGATCTGTTGTCAGGGTTGAAATCCCGGAAACCTTAAACCACATATTCCACTGGGGTGCAGACAAGTAACGGCCCTTGCAGGTGCTCACTCTGGCCCAGGATGCTTTTCCTCTTGAACTTGGCCTGATAGCCTTTTCCAGTAATTCAGATCTCAGCTTAGGTGTCACCTGCTCAGAGAAGAACTTGACCTCTCTCACAGAACACTTTCTCCCTCCACCGATGGGCGTCACTGCGGACAGCCTGACTTTAATGATGTCACAGAGCAATATGAAATTCTCTTCCTCGTTGAATTCTTTGCTTCCTTAGTATCTGACTCTCCCGCTAGAATGTTTACTCCACAAGATCAGGGGTCTTGCCTGTCATATTCATGTCCAGATTCCACTACTCTAATTATTCCAATCACTGCTCACACTCATAGAGCAGCCAAGTCATGGCAAGCACTCCATTAAACGGAAGACATTTCCACATTAATATACTTAGGCTGTGCAATAACCTAGATTTTGTTATTTCCATCTTTTTGGAAAAGAAGAAACTTGAGACCCAGAAAGGTTGGGTGACTCCTCCAAGGTTTCACAGCTGTAAGTGCCTGGGCTGGGACCTGAACCCAGGTACTAGCTTTATAGTGAATACTGTGAACCACTGCACCACACGGTGTGTAGCCAATAAACATGTATTTTTTTAATTTATTTTTATTTATTTTTAATTTTTTAATGTTTATTTATTTTTGAGAGAGAGAGGCATGAGCTGGGGAGGGGCAGAGAGAGGGAGACACAGAATCTGAAGCAGGCTCCAGGCTCTGAGCCATCAGCACAGAGCCCAAAGCAGGGCTTGAACCCATGAACCATGAGATCGTGACCTAAGCTGAAGTCAGTCACTTAACCAACTGGGCCACCCAGGCGCCCTGCCAATAAATATGTATTGAATGAATGAATCGATCAGCACAAGAGTGAACAAATGCATGAGGTTTTGAATCCAGAACCTCTGCCCATAGCAGCCAGTAAGAAACGTACTGAGGTTCTCACAGCTCTGTTCAGCAGGAACCATCCAGATATCATCCAACTGCAGAGGTGTTCCCAGGGTTAATTACCTGTGTGGTGCTGAAGAGGATCTCCATGCCCTGAGCTGCCAGGAAGGCCTCCCTGCCAGACCGGAGGTTGGCAATGTGCTTGAGGCAGAGCAGAAGCGTCCGGCGGATCAGCACATAGGTATTGGCTGTGTCATGGCCGTGCCAGTCCTGATGCAGCCTGAGCAAGCTGGTGACGTAGCCTCTGGTCACAGCCCTGCGGCTGTTAGACTCTGAAACCAATGGGAAAGGTGATGTCAATCACAGGTTCTCCTGGCTGCACCTGCCTGAGGATGCCCCGATGTACCTCCTTCAAGATTCTTATTATAAAGGGACTAATAATAACTTTCCACTGGAGAAAACTGGCAGATGTCACCTTCATCGAGTGATCGACATGGACATCACCATGTGTGTTGTGCTGAGAAAAACACAGCATCATTTCTATGGTGTTTCTGCCCAAAATGTATAGTCTGAATTTAACCATGAGGAAAACCAGCAAACCCAAAATGAGGGGCATGCTACTAGTGATCTGATCTATACTCTTCAAAAATGTCAAGGTCATGAAAGGAAAAAAAAAAAAGAAGGGAAAAGACAAAGAAAAGAGAAATAAAGAGAGAAAGAGAGAAACAGGAAGGGAGGAAGGAAGGAAGGAAGGAAGGAAGGAAGGAAGGAAGGAAGGAAGGAAGGAAGGAAGGAA